GGGGAAGAAATTCTCATGCTTGGAACTACTCCTTTTCATATATCAGAAGCGAGGACTCTGGGAACGAGAATGAGAGTTGTACGTTCAATCATTTCCGGCCTCCAGCCTAGAAAACCTATTTTGGATTGTTAACTCTGGTGACTTCGACGCTTAATTAGGTACCAAGGTCTCTTGAATGTGGCAGGTACATTCCTTATTATGCACACATAGACTGCTGCTCTCTACAGGGCTCAGATCTTACTACTGACTAGATTTAAGATCGCATTTTCCTTTTTAACCCTTTAACTTTTGGAGGTTATTAACATGAAACTTCTCCCTATAATTCCCACATATTGTCCAGCAAACAGGTAATGAGAATATTCAAACTTATCAGGTAGTTGTTATCCTAATCTAACACAAAATTCTCATAACTAGGGGAGAATTAACAATCAGATTTTAAGTTACAGGGTTGTTAGAAACCAAGTGTGAAAGTCAATTTTACTTGTCGAACCTTAAAAGATTGAGTCAGCTGACATGACCATTTCTAAACCTAAAATAACAGACAGTAGAACATGCACAGTTCAAACTAGTGATTATTATTGACAGAAGATGATAAGCTTCTGTTGCTGATTATCACTGCTATGTGCACAGGAAAACCAATCATTTCCTGTTATCTGGCACACTAACCAATGAATACTAAAGTGGAGTGGACTGCTAAGATGCATATTGGTGATACCAGGATTGATGAATCTGGATTTGTTCAAGGGAAATTTTTAAAATCTGGTTATGGAAGAGAAGGGACAAATACAAAATTAGATAAGAAAAATGAAGATTTTTGAAGAAGGCTGGTCATGTGGACCCTTTAACCCATTACCTTAAGTTATGCCCTAACCTCTCCCCCCCTGACTGAGTGACCTAACACTTACAACTTATAAGCACAGAACAGTTATCTCAGACCTTGGGGTAGATAATAGCACATAGTCACATAAAGTGGGTAGAACGCTGGACTGTTGTGCGGGAGGTCGAGGGTTCGAGCTCCGGCCGGACCAACACTCAAGGTCTTAAATCAAGTGAGAAGAATATGCTACCTTTCTATATCAAGAAATGGTTACATGTTCTGGTCCTCTCGGATAAGGACGAATAAATGGAGGTCCTGTCTCCTGCAGGGTTTGGAGTAAGAGACGTTAATTTCCCATGCACGAGATTACTGTGTGATGGATGTCCTCCCCTGGGGTGGTTGCTGGGTGGGAATAGGCCCTAAAAAGCCCCCATGGGAGTGGTCAATTAACATATGTATGTATGTATGTATAAAGTGCCCACTCATATTGGTCAATTCAGTGCCTACTAGTTACCCATGGGTGTGTGCTGTTGACATGAGCTGATTTTTCCAAGTTAGCAAGAAACTAGAGATGCTCAAGGCTTTTACACTTCTTTCATGCTTAGCTTAGCAAACCTCCCAAGTGCCTCTATGACTCAATAGTGTACACTGTGGTGTTTACCATTTGTTGAAAAACAATTATTAGCTATACAGCTCTCAACTTTCATATATCACTTTTATTGAAGTACGGTAATTCTAATGGGTGTCTGTTATAATCAATAATCATAAAAAGAAAATTAAGAGCCTGAAGAACATGTTCCCCTTTGAAATCCTAAGTTATTACTTGTACTGCATGATTTTTGAACGAATTTCAGCCTCGTTTGCTCCTGTGACTTCATCTACCTACAAAAAAAAAAAAAAAAAAAAAACAGGAGAGTTCACTGTCAATATTTGCATCACAGAATCTGTGATTATTGTAGCTATTTATTTCGCACAGGAAGTCTGAGGTTAAAATCCTTCTCTGAACATTCCATGGCCAAGCAGAACAATTGAAACAATTAACCCTATATCCCTTCCAAGATCTCATTTGCAATTCTCCTTAGTGTCTACTATACAAGTCTTAAACTGTTAGTTTGGAGAATTTGGTATTGGATCAACTAATAAACCCCTAATTGATTTGTTCCTTTATTCTCATCATTTTTCTGCTTGATATTGTATTGATATTGTAAGGAGAAATTCTGTCTTGGTCAGTCATGGAAATCAAAGAGATATTACACTTGTTGAATGATCATGATGAGCAACTGATGAATATCTATTTTATAATGTCATTGTCTATTATGTCGATTTCTTTTGTTATTTGTTATTTTTCACTCGGAAATATTGGTTTTTACAAGCTACTCTTAAATAAAAAAAAAAAATAAAGTTTATGTATGTATGTATGTATGTATGTATATCATACTTTAGAGAAAGGTGTTTTTACTTTTTGTCACAAGGGTGGGAAAAGAAAAATTCCTGGGTTCCTACCAGAAACTGAACCTCAGACCTTGGGAATCCCTGCTCAGATGCTCCGAAGGTCTGAGGTTTGATTCCTCATGGGAACTCAGAATTTTTCGTCTTTCTTTCTTCTTCCTTTCTCATTCAATTTTTTCACTGAGCTCAAAATTTACCATCTTTAGTATTCTATTGACAATATTAAACTTTGTTTCTTTGTATGTAACCACCTATCCCTTCATCTGGGAGGGGCAGTTTTGGGCCTAGTTCCCTTGTCTGACCAAAAGAGAAGAATTTTTTACAAATGCTGTTTTTTCTGTCAGGTTGACACCTGCCAACCTACAGTCATTAGACCGTTGTCTCTGCCTGGGGGGGGTGCAAATTTGAACCTTCCCCGGGTGGGGTGGGGGAATTTGAATTGAAAGAGGCAAGCCTTTTCAGCATAAAACACACGATTTCATGGAAGGGTTTAAAGATAAAGAGTCTACCTCTGTGAGCAAATTCAATAACACGTCTGATACTGGTGGGGCTGAGAATTCGAATTTAAGGAAAGGGGGAATTGCAGAAGGGGTTGCCCCAATTGCAGAAGGGGTCGCCCCAATTGCAGAAGGGGTCACCCCAATTACAGAAGGGGTTGCCCCAATTGCAGAAGGGGTTGCCTCAATTGCAGAAGGGGTTGCCCCAATTGCAGAAGGCGTTGCCCCAATTGCAGAACGGGTTGCCTAGAGGGGGGATGTTGAAGCTTTGAATTGATTAACACATAATTACAAACAATAACAATCATTTCTGAGCAATAATTTCTATTGCACGTAGAGCCACTTACCTTACTACCATTCTTATAAAACTTAAAAGTTGGCATAGCAGAAATGTCCTGGTTTTCAGCAGTATCCTGTATTCAAATATACAACAAAACTGTTTTACTGTCAAACTAAAAAAAATGCTCCATGGGAATACCATAAACTTCTCTTAAAAACACCCTTACAATCAAACCCCACTGGTTATAGTCCCATCTACCTGTAAACAAAAAAATACAACCCCCTCCCCTGTAAGAGAGCAATTACCCCCCTCCCCTCTCCCAGATGTCAGCCTCCCTCTACCTTTTCTTGTTTTGAGAGATAAGAACTTCTCTATGAATCATTTAGATCTTATAATTTTAATCATAAGAGAATAAAATGAACTTCTAGGGAAAAGTCTGAACATCTGTTTTGTTCTGGTTATAAGCCCATTTAACTGTAAACGAAAAAAAAAATAAGAGATTATTAAAAACTGGATCATTGGATAATGCAATTCAAGACTTTTTATTGGCTGAGCCATTACGGTATATGAGCCAATATACCATAATTTTAATATCTGTACATTGTAACATCCGGTTTCTTCTTACAAAATAAAGTCGAGAAGATTTGTCTAATATCTTGGGGGTGTTTTTTTTTTTTAAAATGAAACAGTTATTCCACTCAGGCTTGTTGGATATGAGATGATTATGGCCAACTTGGCACTACGCGCCTCGCTGGCCATCTATCATCTCATATCAAAAGCTTTTTTAGCTGGTGATCATTTTGTTTATTCTCCTGACCTTAATGTATGATTCAGGGGTGATATTGTAAGGAGAAATTAGATGTTAGTCACTCATAGGGTCAAAGGGTTCTTAATAAGCCCTCCTTAACCCCATTACAAAGTTGTAGAAGCCCAGAGCTAATGGGTAGAAGTTTACTGTATTTTGTTCCATAGGTAATGACCAATTACCAATCACTATTATGGAGATAGAACACACAGAAACAAACCACAAAAAAATTACTGGGTATTAATGCTTACAGCTAACTTTTTTCCTGAAGGAAAACATTCCAGGGTTATTTCTGGAGTTTGCCATTTTCACAAGTCTCGAAGTTGTTATCAAACAATTTCTGCAACCCAATTAACCTTTAATCAAAACAATTTCAAATTCTGGGCTGCTATTACTCTCACTCTTTTTAACCCTATCATGCCCTTCATTATCACATAATTATCTGTATTCTCTGGACAGTTCTCTATCCATTTTCTTTAAACCTGACAAGGAGAATTTGTTTAACAATCCATGCGTCTTAGGGTTGGTGATCATTTCCTTTGTTCTCATGAACTTAATAAAAGATTTAGCCATTTTAATGTAAAGAATAATTACATGATGTTCTCTTTTTGAGTTTACTTCAGCTATGGGATGTCTATAAATTATGATAATCATGATAAATCATGATGTCTTTAAATTATGATCATAGCATTTTGTAGGTAAAACTTTCAGAGCTGCATCAATGCTCAAGGAAGCCAACTCACCGAATTTTCATCCACATTCACTTTTGCAAATTCCACATCCTGGAATTCCTTACTCATTGCCTAAAAAAGAATCAACTATTTATTGGTATAAAAGGAGTTTAAAGTGCACCTAAACCCAAAATTTTTTTTTCGCTTAATGAAATAAGCTTATTTTTTGGAGTATTTCTGTGCAAAAATTTTTTAATTTGCTCAAATCTTTAATTTTCTATGCCCAGTCAAAATACGGAAAATCGGCCACCATCTTGCCCCACGACCGAGTTTAAAGAAGAATGGCTCTAGCGGGTAATGTAACGTCAAATCGAGAACACTGAAGTCTGCATCTCACACATTTTCACTTGTTTGGGAAGATTGTCGCCGATATTGTCCGAAATATGCCGACTAGGTGTGTTGTATGAAGAATGTATGAAGCGCGATACCCTCTTGCAAATTTCGCACGTTGCTACATCCTTCTACAACACACTTAGTCGGCATATTTTCGGACAATTATCGACTACAACCTTCCCAAACAAGTGAAAATGTGTGAAATGCAGACTTTCGTGTTCTCGATTTGACGTCACATTACCCACTAGAGCCATTCCTCTTTAAACTCGGTCGTGGGGCAAGATGGCGGCCGATTTTCCGTATTTTGACTGGGCATAGAAAATTGAAGATTTGAGCAAATAAAAAAATTTTTGCGCAGAAATACTCAAAAAAATAAGCTTACTTCGTTAAGCGAAAAAAAATTTTTGGGTGTAGGTGCACTTTAACAAGAAAATCAAACTTTGAAAAGTGGTGCCAATATGAAATGTAGGTTATTGTTTTTATTCTAACTCAATTTCTAACTTGACCCCTTGACTCCCAAGAAGTGATTAACCTGTAACTTCTCCCTATAATATCCAAACATGATCCAGCAAACATGTAATGAGAATACTCAAACTCATCAGGTAGAAGTGGTTACATTGATTGAACACCAAATTCTCAAAACCAATTTACAAGGAAATGTGCAGCAGCTAGATGGGAGAATTCATAATCACATCTTGGGAGTTAGAGCGTTAATTCGCTCCTCTAGCTGAATTTCTGTTCTTGTTAGTTTATTACAGTATCGGATCAGCTTTAACCCATTCACTCCCCCGATCCATTTAGTAAATAAATTCTCCTTCCTGCTTGCAATACATTGGTTATAGTTTTAGTCTGAGAAATTATCATTAGATCAGATGAGAATTCCCCTATTTAATATTCTTCTTTATTCTCATCACTTGTCTGCTTTACGTTGCATTGATATCGTAATGAGAAAGTACATCTGGATCACCATTAGAAGTAAAAAGGTTGCATAACAGCCATATTCCTCTGAACAGGTGCTGTTTTTTTTTTATGGGTGACATTTGTTGTGAAGGACGCTTTGTTATAGTGTACTCAAAGTACAAATACTAGGGTCACGTGGAAAAAGTTTTTAGTGAAGGTTTTTGCGACCACATGGAGTTGTTTTACTAGTGTTTTTTAGGGTCGTAATTTTAGGGTTGAAATTGCTGTTTTATGTCAAGTTCTAATAAATGGTTTAACTCAGAACCAACATTCATTTGTACCCTTGCTTTCATCAGTGGCATTTAACTGTGGGTGGTGTTTAATAGACAAAAATATGGTAACTAAAGAAAAATTCAACCATCTTCATAAAAAATCCTGCTGCTGAAATATGCTTTCAAATACAAATTGTGTTTTCTGTAACAAAGACTTCCTTGAAAAACCCAACAAGAATTGACAATAATCTCAATGTTAATAGGATGGGATCAAAATTCTAGCTGGCTTGCATTTGTAACTTTCCTGGTTACTTCCATAACTTAGAAGACAGAAAATTACAATAGGTTACCATTAAAACTAGAAAAGTTACATTCAATACAACATTTATGAGCCATTATTTAAAAAAGGTTATAAGCCATTGTTTAACAACACTGCATTCTAAACCATCTTCAATTTAGCTGAACCTTTTACAGGGTTCGTGCAGGAATTTCAGAGTTAAATTTAAGGACTTTTTAAGGAGTATTTAAGGACTTAAATTTGACTTTCAAGGGGTCATTTTTGCTATGAAAAAACGCTTCTCTAAACGTTTGTTTTCAATGATGGCGGCACATTTTTTTTCCCAAGGCGCTCTTGAACCAGATAACTTTCTATATTTTTTCTCTTTCATTGTTTCCAATATATTTTTTCACATTCAATGCGTATTTAAGTAAAAAATTCAAGGAGTTTAAAAGGATTTTTTTAAATTTCTTATTTTTAAGGAGTTTTCAAGCACCCTTAAATTTGTAAATTATCTTCAAGTAGTTTTCAAGAAGTTTAAGGAGTAGCACAAACCCTGCTTTTATCTGAACATTTATTTTTGTGAACTGTGTCAAGAGGGGGCAAAAGCTAGTAGTGGAAGGACATTTATCTAAATAAATGAACTCTCTTATAGAGAATCCCTAAGGCCCACCACTTGTGTAAAATTACCATTTGAGTGAATAACCCACCCCTTCATGTCTAAGAGTTTTGTTAAAAAAATTCTCCAAAGTACCTCAAATTTTGGTTTGATCATCTTGCATGGACCACACCAATCTGCGAAAAAGTCAATAACGACCAGTTTTGAACCTGCCTCTTTGAGGAATTTTTCAAACTCTTCCTGTAATGAAAAAATGAAATATCATTCAACCACAATTACTTTAATTTAAAGCAACTAGTGTTAGGGTGTAACAGATAAAAACACAAAAACATTCTTTAAATACACAAGCAAGGCTGAATTTCTCAAACATTGAAATACATACTCTGAGATTCTAACTTCCAATGTTAGATTCATGTACACTGCTAAGTGGAAAATACACGCCAGCCATGTGTAATGGACATATCAATTTTAACTTGAGTCAAAATTTTACACATGCACAACACATGCAATTTGTGCGTAAATCTGCCATCTTGCATGCATTTTATGCCTGTGCAGGTACTGCTATTCCTGTGGCCTGTACTTTATGTTGACATTATTTCATGGTTTTCTAAGTTTCACAGTACAGTCAAACCTTGATTTTCTGGATCTCGATTATTTAACAATTTTTTACCCTCAACCAAAGCACAAGTACTGAAACAATGTTGACATTATTTCACTGATGCAGCTTGAAATAATTATAGAATTAGCCACCTGCACAAGTTTGGTTAGCTTTAATACCTTTTTGTAAATAGTATTGGCAAATATTAACAAAGAAGCAAAATGATTAGAGAATGTCCATCACATATCCAGTTCCATTGTTGGCTCGTTCATATTCATATTTTGTATGTATGTATGTATTTACGAATATTTATACAAGGTAGCCCAGTTTAGCAAATTGCTAGTTTAAATGGGGCCCTGTGAAACAATAACACCCACCCATCCCACCCCAGGGGAGGAAATCCATCACACAGTACTCTTGTATGTGGGAAATTAACCTCTCCTACCCCTAACCCTGCAGGAGATGGGGCCTACGGTTTATTCATCCTTATCCGAGAAGACTAGAATATCTATCCATTTCTTGATATTATAGAAAGGTAGCAAATTCTCCTCAGTTATTTTAAGACCATGAGTACTGGTCCAGCTGGGGCTCGAACTCTCGACCTCCCGCGCAACACAATCCGGTGCTTTAACCAATTGAGCTAACGGGGGGGGAGGGGGGGGTGGTTAGAATATATAGACTTCCACTTCTCCCAACACTTCAGTCCAGTCTCCTGGGTATGAATAATCAAGGTTAGACCTAAATGTTCTCCTGCTTGAAATAACTATTTCAAAACTAAGTTCCCCAAATATGTTTCACACAAAAAAATCGTGAAAAGTTTATTTGCACAAAACACAGAGAGTTGCCAATTCACAAAATAAGGGATTTGCAATGACAATACCTGAAGAGAGTGACACCTAGGAATTCACTCAAGGCAAATTAGGGTGGAACTCATTAATACTTTTCAAAAATTCATTAAAAATTGATGCCAAAAAAAAAAAGAAAAGAAAAGAAAATCAGAAAATAAAACACAAAGCTATCCTTAACTAGCAAAAGGGAAATGACAAAATAATTGTAAAGCCTAAAACTACAAGAAATTACATTTTTCATTTCAGTTTGGTATTTCAAGGATTCTTTCCCTACTTGTATGACTTCCTGATCAGAACCTCTAATACTTCACCACAGCACTTCAGGAGACTTGGAAGCAGGTGTTAAAGTAAATTAATGCAAGATGACAAACATTCTCTAAACTGCCAGGATTTGAATTACAATGTGAAATTTTTGAGAAAATAAATGGAAATGAAAGTGGTTCGTGAGAGGTTTGTCCAGTATTAGACTGAAACAGGCAGTTTTTTTCAAGTGTGTGGAACAAGGATTCTTGGAAAAAATATAAACTATGACATCATCCAATACATGTCAGTCCCATGATCTTCTTTGTAGGAAATGTGAGCTGGCTATAAGAGGCCATAAAAATTTCATTTCAAGAATAAAATACAATATTTATCTAATACTGGGTTGCCAGCTTTGAAAATGTATTCTCAGGGGTACTCTGATATGGATCAGTCAAGTCCGTTATGGACACAGATGTCTTTTTGTACTTCAGTAATGTTTTTGTTATGGTTTCTTTTGTTTCGTTTTCGAGAAAGGCAATACAAAACTTTCACACGCAATACCCAACTTCTATTGTCCCTTGTATGACTAATTAATTCCAAGCTGAATATAGAAGATGATCAAAATCGAAATACCGTAGTGTGGAAGGAAATTGAAGAAAATTGAAGAAAACCTAAATGTCGGACTGTATAAATGTAAGACAGGCCTATGCAGATTTGATACGCATTCAGCTTCGAATCTCTTATTTTCGTCTGATTATGTAACAGATCGTAGATTCTAGCAGCCTTATGTGATTTTACTATGTTGACCAAGTTGAAGGCCACCGTCGCCTAGTCGATAACAAGGTAATGGGGCGATTTTGAAATCTTACAAACTAACGATAGATTCTAATTTAAGTTATAGCAAATACCTTGTAAAGGCAATGAACTTGGCGGAAAACTGGAATTCTTAAATTCATACGTGACACTCAAACAAACACTCGTGAAGAGCAGCTGAAAAATGCCACATGCGACGACAAGCACGCCGTTTCGTAAAACTCACTAGCATTAGCAAAGCATGGCTACTCCACACAATACGACAACAGGACGAAAACTCACCAAAGTTTCGAGTTCTCTCATGTTTAGACTGGTAATAAACTGATCCGTGAGAGGATTAACCGGTAATTATGTAGTCTAACTCTTTCCACGCTCAATTACACTTACTTCCCGCTCGAGCCTTACAGCGAAGTTGAAATGTATTTGGCCGGGAGAAGCCTGAGACGTACTGTAAAGAATGAATGGATGACCTATGGACTCATGGACTGCTGGAGTTTAGATCTTGGGAGTGGGATCTTACAGTCCTTGGCATTTTTTAACTCGAGCAATGAACTGGAAAGTGAGGCAACTTGTAAGCGTTAAAAATCGCTTCACTTCCTGTCCTTTCAAAAACAGCGTCCTAGAGAACCGATAGTGAGGCACAAGGTGGCTTACAAAAGAATTATTATTTAGTAGAGGGGGCATTGGGGTTTGCGGTTTTGCGGTTTTGGCTATTTTTTTTCGGTTTTTGTGCCAGAAAACGTCAGTTTTTCGGTTTTATTGTTCATTGCATTTTTTTGATTTTCCGTTTTCAACATTTTGTTTTCAGTTTTCGTCAAAAAGTTTGACGGGTACTCGCGAGTGATCCGATGTGCTTTTTCAGTTTTTCATATTGGGGTTCCGGTTTCTCTTCGATCCGAGTAGCAGTTATACGCCTCTATTGATCTCAAATAGCCGTGAAACCTATGTTTCTCCTCTTGTAACTACAGTATCAGACCGATCAGGATTTTGACAACTGAGATATGCAAATTTATTGGTTTAGACGGTTTTGCGTGCGGTTTTCGGTTTTGATCGAATTTTTTTGCGGTTTTGCGATTTCTGATAGACCTCAATGTCCCCCTCCTAATAAACAAGAAACTTGAATACGGGGAACTACACTACTCAAAAAAAAAACACTTTAAAGATTGTCTGTTTCATGTTTTTCCCACTCTCAACTGTGAACAGCTCTCAAACTGAAATTTTTGGCCTGGAAGGACCCGTTGGACATCATCCGAGAAGCGATGAGGAAACTAGACAGTTTCGAAACCTTTAAGAGCCGGTTACTTAAACAAAGTTTACGTGTTGTTTAAAAAACCCGCGTTCCAACCATCTTGAATTTATTTGAGTCCTTCATCTGAACATTTATTTTGTAAACAGTGTCAAGAGGGCCGAAAGTTAGCAGTGGAAGGACATCTAATGAAAACAACCCTCTCCTGTAGAATAAGTAAGGCCAATGATTGCATAAAACAGAGATTAATGATTTGAGCAAGACCTCGGTTAAATAACCAACCCTAAGTGTTTAGCCCAGCTTGTCCACTTGCCTGCTTCGAGCATTCAGTTAGCAAAAAGGAGCAGAGTCAGCAAACAAAGCGAAGAGGCTTGGGTCGGGGTCTAGGCTCCACTTCCACCGCTCTCCGAGGTCCGGTCTTTTTCGTTCCTCCCCGCGGAAGATAGGAGCGCAGGCTCCGGTTCTCGAACAGCGGCTGGTAATTAAGTCTAGGTCGGTCGGGTCGCGTAATACTTCGTTGCGTTGGTTCAGTCGTCACGTGATCCAACCCAGACTCCCCTTCTTTTTTGCTCCGCCGTTCGCGTCGTTTAAACTCGTGCTCCCTCTTTTGAACGCCTGGAACAGGCTCCTTGTTAACAAATTCTCTGCAGCTAATTACTTCATTAGACTATAAGAACGAAAATTTAAATCAGAATTGTCGGCTCCGTAAAAGAGTACCTAGTGTCACTGACACATCACGTAAATGGAACCACATTTAAGGTTATACATATGTACATCCTTACTCGCATATTAGCCTCGGCTTAGCCTCAGTCCAACGTCAAGAGAAATGGGTGATCCCTAACTCAGATCTCGTTTCTCGTCACGGTTTCTCGCTCACAAAAGAGATCTGGGTACCAGAATAAAGAGTTTGGGGTGGCGAAACGCCTGCTAGTTAAAAACCCTAGTTCCAACTATTTTGAAACTTTCTATCTACGGGAATTGTGTAATGTTTTGATACTGTCAAAGTGTTAGTTGGAAACAACTCCTTAAAGACTTTTTGATACTGTGTTTTTAGGACCTCCGGTCCATGTGCAACCCTTGTATGGAGGTGTACGATCCTAAATTGGCTCAAGTTTATCGTATATAAATAAAACAGACCAAATTTATTTACTTTTCTGCAAGTCTACTTTAATTGCCATCTCAAGTATGTAAAGAACACTAGATCTCCAACCAAAGGCTTGGGACGATGTCTTATTCCTTTGAAAGATAAAGCCCCCATGAAAATTTCAATGCCTAAAGAAAGACAATTTTGAAAAAAATCCTTGAGAGATAAAACTATACAAAGGTTCATGCTTTAGCTAGTTTATCAAATTAGTACCCAGGGTTCTCTATTCCACTTTGAGGAAGGAAGAACACTAAAGTTCAAAGAGTTCGATCAGATATGTTGGGGTTGGACCCAGACCCTTTTACTTAATAAACGAGTCTATACGGATATTGGATTATAAGACGCAGTTGAAGAGAAACTAATTCAAACTTAACCTACCTCAACTATTCAATTTATTTCATATCCATGTAAATAATGATTACTTTGTTTACATCAAGGTTTTTAGAGCACTTCGATTACAGATCAACTTTATCGCGCGGAACAAACATTACTATCTTTTATTAGATAACTCTACGTAAACCCAACTTAATTCAAAGGCGTTCTCAGCTTGGTCAAACTTGGACCCGTGACGTCATCGAAGGACACTCGCTCGCTAATTCCTAGACTTTGCGCGGAAAATTAAGTGAAAGTGAACACCAAGGAACTAAACTACAAGTTAACCAGGGTACATTATAGATTAGAATCACACAGAGGCCTTGATAGATCAAATATATATTTGTGACCAGATAAATTCGTACTTTTTATCATTATTTTTCTTCCTCGCAGTCAGGGTTTGTTTCACAAAACACTGATTGGTTTCGGCAATAGCAATGGTCACAGCCGATCTGCCATTCTTCGTTTTCCACGCTACAAGCGCCTGCCACCGCTAAAACATAAATGAAATGAGAAAAAAACAACTCTCACATTTTTTAACTCATCTGCTGCAAGATATAAACCATAGTTACACCAATGAAACACCTGCAGAAGATAAACCACAGTCACACCAATGAAATAACTTACCTTGACCTGCCATTGGGTTCCCTACTGAGCCTACAAATTTTAAAGCATTCAAGAAATCAGTCATTATTTATTGCTGGGAGGGGGAGATGGAGAATTTTGGGGGGATCACATGGTTCTCAGAGAGAATAGAGGGGGGAGCAGTTGTCTACACTGACAGAGCATAAAGAGGGGGGGGTGTAGAAAATTGACTGCCGATGAGGGGGGATCTTTAGAATACTTCAGAGCCGTGGGGGGAGGGGGGAAGGGGGAATGAGGTAAATTTCATTTTAACAAAACTAACAACCTCCAGCTTCCCTTTCAGTCTCCTTTGTCCTGGCTATAAACAGTTACCGGTCCCTCATGAAGTTAAACAAAGAAACTTAAAAATAAATATAGTTTAGTTCTATTTATCCTAAGTCTGAAAACTGTCCTGAATAAAGCTTAACACTCGTCGCTGTGTTTGTAAAAAGTGTTTTGATAATTTCTTATTAACGATTATCTTTTCAAGCTTCAGTTTTTCAGCCACCTTAAAAGCGACACACTTAAACACATTTCCCCAACAAAGTTATGAATACTTACTTTTCGTAAAACTGGCAAAAAGAAGGATTCCGCAGATAAACAGTAGAGTTCTCATGTTGAAGGAAATATTTGTCTGTTTGAGAGGAAAGATAGTTCTTGTAATAGTTCTAAGCAAGACAGAATAAAACACCTATGATACAAACGGTTTTTTGGAGAAATGACAGCACCTTTCTGAGACCTCACCATTTTTCACTTATTAAGATATTTTTTTTTTATTTCTTTATGTTCAGTCAAATTAAGCCGAGGTTTGTGTTAAAGGAGAAATCTGTGATGAAACTCTGTAATTAACAGGGCTTCGCTTCGAACGAACAGCGCTCGAAACACCAGCTTTGAAACTCTCTACGGTGGTTAATCTACATTATCGACCCAACCTCGTTCCCACCTCCAACCAAGGGAAAAGGCCCTGGGAACGAGGTTTTATCGACCCAGCTGATAAAACCAAATTATCTCAGTTGTAATACCCCCCCCCCCACCGACGCAGCACCACAGTTTCTTTACAAACTAACCCCCCCCCCAATTGTAATTGATAAGGGCGACAAATAACGTTTTTGACTGTCTTTTTCTGGTTAATAGTAGCCAGCTTATGTAAAGAGATGTTACCCCCTTAATTTTTTCATTTATCATGATTTTCAATTTGACTGAGAACAAAATTAATTATGTGTCATGTGATGACCGAGGACTTGTGCAATGTTTTGTTTAGTCTAACAAGTTTACATAACACGATGTTTATTTTAGGTTTTCAATTATCTCCGCTGTCAATAAAGTATAATCTTATAAAACAAAGCGACATGCTGATTGGATGGAAAAAAAGATCTGACTTGATCCGTCAATATCATAAATTTAGAAAAGGAAGGCCTCTAAACTTGGCAACGTATGAATGGAAAATTCTATTTGCGTTTCAGATATTTATCTGCAATTTATGCCGGTCGAATAATAAACCATAAAATCGGGCAAAATTTAAATAAAAGGAAAAAAAAAAGTTACTCAGATTAAAATAATTTTCTATTTCTCAGTCCAATTCTAGTACATAGGCTGAGCAGATAGAGCTGAATAACGTACACGCATGCGCTAAGTTTTGCCGCGGAACACAGATATTGAGTCGTTCGCAGGGTTGATTTCCTTTTCTGTTGCTTCGAGGCGTCGTTTTCCTTGCCGCTTTTCTTTTACAGAACAACTTCCAAAAACTTGGTACACCCCCTAAAAATTTTCAAAAATTAATTTTCTCCTTAAAACCTTCGGAAATAGGAAAATGCCTTCGACGAAAACAGAGTTCCTCGGTTTTAAAAGTCAGCCCTTATTATTTTTCGCCAATTTCGCTAAATTTTAGACCTAGGACACTTGGGCCCGCGTTGTTGACCGCATACCCTCTGACGTAGCATTTCATTATTCAGCTCTGTCGGCTGAACATTATTTTTAAGTGGAAATATTGTTAATAAAAACTTTGGAACGATATTTTAAATTCATAAGAAAGGTTTACCTCGTTCTAAACTTGGGTAAATGTTTAAAACACAAAAGTATTTACATTTTATGCTGATACTAAAATCATACGTTGTTCTACCATAACTCCAATTAATTTACTTGAGTCAGGAAATCTGTAAGATGGTTTTGGCTGTCCTTAAGATCGCCCGGGTCCTTGATCGGGCTTTGTTCTAAATAAACACATTTTACCATTGCTTTTCCACCTAGGCGTATAAATGGCGAACTGTCGGGAGAATATAACTAAACCCTTGGGGTAAGCTATGATGAACTAACATATCATTCAGGGAGAGAAACAATACTCTTGATTTCTGCATGCAACAGAAACTGGGAACAAACGCTATAGCGGCTCTGAGACCCAACTCCCTCGGGTTAAGCAGCCAGGTATTATAAGCAAGTTACTTCCAAGCGTAAACTTCTGATAGAACGTTGTAAAATGCTAGTCTTTAGTATTTATGCGATAAAATTGAATAGTTAAAATATCATATTTGATTTGTCCTTTTTTACTGTACTGCAGAAAACGATGGTTATGGATAAGTCCTCTTTGTTCGGGTTTTAAGTTTTAACAAGGGAAAAATCTCATGGTAAGTAAATAGAATGGAAAACAAAAATAGAGCAGGAAAAAAAAAGAAGAAACATTTTACCGGATTCACGGAAGCGCTCTCTGTATACCAGAAGTTCTTGGGACCGCGGTTGCTCGTTTGTTAGTGAGCGAATAAAAGTTGCGTTTGTGTTTCTTATAAAACTTACCTGCTCCTAACAGGGCGACTTAATCGTATGAGATAAGTCTTTGTGCAGCTGAATAAGCAGTAACACAGCGTCCTTTATAACTAACTCTTTTATTTGTTGACGATTAGAAGGCGATATATTGTCCCATTTCGGTCGGATTAGACAATCTCGTCAATAACCCAATAATACGAAATCGAATAAGTAGAATTTAATCAAATAATTTCTCAGAGGACCCAATCCGAAGGCAACAGTTAATGTAAAAATTACACAAAATTATGATATTTAATCGTGTTTATGCGTTTTGTTTCTGAAAATTTACTTTTTCCGAGATGTTTGTGTGTATTTAAAAGAATATGATACGTTATTAGGTTTACGTTTCCTGTTACAAAATGACTAATCTTCCGAGAGCAAAGCAAATAGGGAGATTACCATTTTCTTCTTCGTTTTCATTAACACGTTTTAGTTCTTCACCGCGGTCACGTTACACAAACCTCCGGTTCGGACAGATTTAACTTGTTGTTGTTCTGCGCGATCAAACTGAAAAGAATCTGCTAACATTTGATTTTATCAGTTAAAACTGAAAAATCGACTTTCTCAATTCTACGAAAATTCCAAGAAAAGTGCTTTACTATCATGATTAGGTATCACAAACAGAATTATCGTAAAGGCATAGTATGAAAACTTTACCTCACAAAGAACAATCTTCAACATAGATTGAAAGAAAGCAAATGACCTCTGATAGCGCGCGAAAAAAAGAGAAGTTTTAACTATTGGATTTGATTGGTTGAGAGAGTGACTCGGATTTTCTAGACCAATTAAAAAGCGGAAGAGAGTAGAAACGATTCAACCCTAAGAACAGAACCTTTTCGCGAGTGTAAACCCTGACACGAAGTATTAGAAAACGGAGGGAAAACACCCCAACTTCCAGTGGATTCTGGAAAGTGAGGCGCTGCCTGTTGCATCTGCAGATTACGTTGATACTCATTTGCGATTCGAAAAGGCCTTGAGGTTAATCTAGTGGAATAACATTCTCCCCCGACCGTAATTTTAACCAAGCGGGCGTGAGCAGCCTTTCTTTCGGTACCTGAATCCCATGCTAATGTGTCCCCACATTAGCATGGGATATCTCCCAAACTAGAAGGTTCTTTGACACGTTAATAAAGTTTCTATCTATTTCTATCTATCTATCCATCCATCCACCTATCTATCTACCTATCTAATCTATCCATCTACCTATCTAATCTATCTATCTAATCTATCTTATCTATCGATCTACCTGTCTATCTAATCTATCTATCTAATCTATCTCATCTATCTGTCTAATCTATCTATCTAATCTATCTATCTACCTATCTAATCTATCTAGCTATCTATCTATCTATCTAATCTATCTATCTAAACTTAGAAGAAATTCATAGTATAGGAGAGGCGTTTAATGAAAATGAACGTTTTCTAAGGCGGGGAAAAAACAAAGAATAGGAACATGTAAAAGTTACGTTGAGGATAGGGAAGATTGAATTGTAGGGAGGGTTGTTTCGGGAATCAATTAAATACTATTCTTATCCCTTTACACCCGAACATTAGTATGCATATTCTCCATATTGTTCTCTGCACATTTCCTTTGATATCGACAAGGAGAATTTCAGTGCTAACCAATCAAAAGCTTCTAAATCGGTGATCATTTCCTTTATTCTCATTACCTTAATGTGTGATCCAGGAGTGATATTGTGAAGGGAAATTAGATGCTAGTCAGTCCTAAGGAACAAAGGCTTGATATATCTAAATACAGACAGAACTAAATGTCACCAAGAGATATCAGCTGAAAACCCCCAACATAACAAGAAACAATACGGTGGGTGGTACATTTTCATTTCTTTACTAGCCTGGGATATTTGACTCATTTACAAAAATAATGTCGCACAATCTTTCTACTCGACCTTATTATACACGTAGAACCAGTTAACACATATTCGAGGTCTCCCCGGTTACTCTCATTAAACAAGGAATTGACTGCTCCTTTAAAATTAGTAATTAACTTTCTTCAAACAGTTCCTTTTTGACAAAATAAGACTTATAGTTGCTGACAAACAAAGAGAGGTTCACTATGAATATTACTACAAATAAATACAATAAAATATACCGGTTTACGTGGAGACGATTTGGTGTGTTTTACCTTTCCAAAACTAATTTCCGCAAAAAAATTTTCAAGAAAGAGCTGGCCTCTTCATAGTAACATAAATCTTCCATGTATTCCCCTCTTAAGATCGATTTTTTCTTCTTTCTTCTAAAAACAGATGAAATTCCCTGAAGACAATAGAACAAACCTCGAAGACAGCTTTCATCTGTCTTTTTCGTTGTAGCGTTTAAACTTTATAAAGGAAAGTGGCATTTGCCTGACTGCTAATATAGAGAAAAAAAATGTCTTTGTGGCGTCCACGTTTATGGATTAGTGAGAGTTGGCTAATACAAATTATTATCTTTGTGTGCAAGATAAAAAGCAGTTGATTCTGAAATCATAAAAAAAAAACAAAAAAAACGAGTGACATACTTTTAAACTATAGTGAGTTAATTCAAATCGAGTTGCAAGATAACTTCTCACTTACAGCATAATACTTTTCAGAGGTAGGTTTAATCATAATTTTCCTTGTGTTGGGCACGAAAATGGCGGTCCAAGGGGAAGAACACAATAATTTATAATGCGATAAATACTGACTATACAAATTATGTCATAAAACTTCTCTGCACGTTTTTCAAATTGGATCAACCGGGAGCGACTCGTTTTCAAGTTCTATCACCGACAGGTTTTGATGTGTCATCATTAACCAAAATCAAGTTTGATAATTTTCATAAAAACACCCATCAAATTGAATTACCAGATTCCAGCTACAAAAGTTTCTTTTGGAAGGGACTATCGAGCCCAGACTATATAAGAGAGGAAATTAAAAATCAGCGCCGCGCGATAGTCTTCTCCACGCATTAATCCCAATTTCGTTTTTTGGATACAAAGGAACAAGCTGATTAAACTCTCTTGGCTTTTACCAGGGGCTACATTTAAAAAAAACAACACGAAACACTAGCTATAATACAACGCTGTGTAGTAAATTTCATATAGCTGCCGTTATTTTCCACTGCGATAAATTTGTTTCTCCCAAAACGAACTCAGCACATTGCTGATTTGCCTTAAACGAATCTCAGAGTAAATAAGTCATACGCTTTTCACCCGCCTCTCTTATTCTTTACCCCGTAGGAAATATTTATCTTAAGTTAAACAAAACTAAATCGAAAGGTAAAATGTAATTCTTACCCATGCCACACAAAAGCGTAAGAAATAATCAAAGTTAGGAATTTGTCTAAAGATAGAGTTAAAAATGTGTCTTATATTTTGTACTGTTCATCTCCAAAATAGCCGGTCAATCAAAGGAGATTTAAGTAAAAAAGAAACTAGAATTTATTCGCAATTAAAGGTTTCACCGCTACTGGTTGGGCACAACCTGAGTTTCGCAGACTTTTCGATTTTTTCTTGTCCACAATTCTTGAGACAACGAACCCTGACGGTGCGTTTCATATTTGAACGCTGGTTCCTCAGCTGGTTACTCATTGTTAAATATTATAAAGGAGGAAAGGAACAGCAATGAATTCCATTTATCAGGCTACTGCTACGTATCCCTGCAAGATAATAGCAAGAAATGTTAGCACAGAATTTGTTTAACCGCCTCCCGGTTAGCTCAATGGATAGAGCGCTGGACTGATGTGCGGGAGGTCGAGGGTTCGAGCCCCGGCCGGACCAACACTCAAGGTTTTAAAATAATTGAGAAGAATATGCTGCCTTTCTATAACATCAAGAAATGGTTCAGATATTCTAGTCTTCTCGGATAGGGACGAATAAATGGAGGTCCCGTCTCCTGCAGGGTTAGGGGCTGGAGTGGGATGGGTGGGTTGTTGTCTTGCGTTTCATACATGAGCCTCTGGCTCGGGAAATATGGGTAACCATGCCCCACGTAAAGACATTAAACTTTGATTACTATTACTATTTTCTTGTTTGTTTGTTTGTTTGTATATACCACAAAAACAATGATGAAGAAAACTACACGTAGGAATTTAGGAATGGTGATAATAAAGATAGTGCGGATCAAGGTATTAGAATAGAATGATACATTGTAAATACAAGTAGACAAAGCTTAATTGTACAAACATCACATAAGTTAAGCCCAAGGTGGCTCAAGAATGACATAAATTTGGGGTTGAGGTAGTAATAATTGATAAACAGAGACAGACAGTTTGAAGAATCTGGATCCACGTCAGTATCTGGACAACCCAACAACAGTCAACTGATATCAAGTTAGGGTTAATGTTAGGTTAGGGGAGGGGTAGGTGCGCAGTTGCTCACCCAACAAATACACGATCGTCTCCCACAACAGGGAAACCATTCTTTCCCCTCAACATAAATCAACATTCTCCACGGACCAACCAAACAATCAACCAATCAACCTTAGCTAGACCTTAGTAAAACCATAAAGTGATAAACAACCACACTTTCTTTTCCACAAACTCACCTAGACGAGACAGCGTTAGCCTGTTGCGTTCTATTTGGCGTTGAGCGGCGACTGGAAGCTTGTCTTTGTCGAGCTAAGAAGGACATTCCACTTGAGTTCCCTGATAACCTTTCCTCAGCAGCTTTTCTATGGAGTTGCATGCCCTGAGAAAACATCACACAGACAACATCAGGGAGGGGAAACGTTTTGCGACAAGGGCCAGCGATAAGTGTCTGTGACAACGCTCTGTGTGCTGCTACCGTTCTACGACAAGTCCCAATAGCATTTCGCCTTATGTGACAAGGAGAGTTTTTTGCAATATTTTTGAGTCTGCGACAGGATTTTGTCGCTGTAATCAGTTGCACGAATTCAGACCAACTTTACTTTTTATGCGACTGATCACAGGTACAAAACTGTCGCAAAGACGAAGATTTTCACGAAAGTTCTGTAAGTCACACTAGACAAATAGCCGCTGCGACAAGTCCGTGCGTAATGTCCCAGTGATTTGTCGCCTTGTGCGTCTCGGCTCTAAGTTTTTCTTTCTTTTATTTCCCTGAAGTTCTCTTCACAAGGTAAGCTTTCATTGGCATGGGGTATCAGCCCTAAATTCTTGCCCTTGGTTGTCTTCTCAGGCTGAGAAAATCCCCTGTATTTCATTCCCAGTCTTTTAACCCTCGCTATCGATTCATTCGGCAAACTAAAGTCCAACTTGAAAGAGATTGCGCTTACCATTTCATACCAAGCGCTGACAATAAGCTTCTCTTCTCTTTCTCTTGTGATTTTCATCTTCTCGTGATCCCGCTACAAAGAATCAGAGTTGTAAGAAAATGAATTTACTGGCTTTCTCGTATAAAGTTAACAAGTCCCGACATAAAAAAGAAACCGTTGTCTCAGTTTGTGGTGTTCCTACAAGGCCACAATTCGACCCTTACAAAACCAAGATTTAAATATGTTTTCTCCCCACTACCTGCTATATACAGTGTAGTTATTTTCATGATGGCTCTGATAATTTGGTGTTTAAATCAAAAACATATCTCAAAGCCGACGTTTTTCTACTTCTCATTTCTTTTCCTCTTAAACTTAGGCACGTAGAAGATAGCTCAATTGGTTAGAGCACCGGACTGTGTTGTGCGGGAGGTCGAGGGTTCGAGCCCCGACCGGACCAATACTAATGGTCTTAAAATAATTGAGGAGAATTTGCTACTTTTCTACAGCAAGAAATGGATAGATATCCTAGTCTTCTCGGAAAAGGACGAATAAACCGTAGGCCCCGTCTCCAACAGGGTTAGGGATAGGAGACGTTAATTCCCACGCACGAGATTACTGTGTGGTGGATGTCCTCCCCTGTGGTTGGCACTTACGGGGAGTGGTCAATTTCCTGAACCGAGTGTTCAACAAGAAAGTGATGTCCGTGCAGAGAGAGAGAGAGAGAGAGAGAGAGAGAGAGAGAGAGAGAGAGAGAGAGAGAGAGAGAGAGAAAGAGAGAGAAATATATGATCTGTAAAATAAATTAACCAAAAAACAACATATACCGCTTACCTCCAAATGCTCTATAATTTTCTCCTTTTCTTGAACTTGATTTTTAAGCAATTGAACCTGAGAGAATGCAAAAGGTGATTACAAGAACATCATTATTAGGAGCAAGTTTAAGCTTTCAGTTTTCCCATCAAAATAACAAAAGAAACAATTACCTCTGGTTGCGCGCCCGAGCTGTGCTTCGGATCGAGAGTTTTTATTACCTAAAAAAAAAAAAAAAAGGATCCAATTAAATGCACAGCTTAAATGGAGCTTGTCGATCTGTGAACCTTTAAACTCTAAGAGCGACCAGCATCTAATTTCTCCTTATGTTTATGCAGCTGAATTATTTATTAAGATCAAGAGGATAAAGTCATTGATCGCCAGCCTAAAAAGCTTTGATCGTTAAACAAATTCTCCTTGTCAGGACCAAAGCAAATGTATAGAGAACAGTATGGAGAATATGGATACTGATGTTGGGGTGTAAAGGGTTAACCTAACGCGAAAGAAGATAGTGCTTTTCGTTTGAGTCGTAAAACAAAAAAACATAGTAATCACCAAGGCCAACCAAACAAAGGAATAAATCACAAAGAACTAGCTACGAGTCAAGAAGTATAACAAACTAAAAACACGCGTAAACAAGTCGCGATCGATATTCGTTTTTCATCTGATTGGTTGAGAGGGTGGGCTGAGTTTTCTAGATCAATCACAGAAGGACGTTGAGTATTCTAGACCAATCACAGAAGGACGTAGAGTTTCCTAGACCAATTACAGAAGAACGTTGAGGAAGAAACCAATGCAGCCCGACATCACTTTTGACACTAGATTGAAAATTTATCTTAGACACTGACTTCTTTCACAAAACATAGTTTTCAGAGTGTGGTATTTTGCAGTAAATACCCCCTCCATTACCCAGTCATAGACAACTTACACTCTTAGCTTTCTCCAAGTATTTCTTGTACCGATCTTCCATGACCTTCATCTCTTGATCTTTCTTATTCAGAAGTTCTTGCAATTCATTTACTTTCTCCGCTGAACAAACAAACAAACAAACAAAAAAAGAGACGTTAACAGGTCTCAGCAATACCGAGTAAATCCCCCTTCTGCTCATTTCCCTTTTCTTATCATTAAAACTAATTGACTGGGAAAGGTTGAACCCTTGAAAACTGTCACCAACAAGACAAAACATACAAGTGCTGTTTTGCGCCGTACAAACGTTAATTGAAGTTCTCCGAAACTACAAACCTGAAGTTAGCACTAGCTTGAATGGAACAACAAACAGAACCTCATCAAAGTACTAGTAGCTTTCGTTTTCACGTTATCACAGACATAAAAAATATTTCAGGAATAGATTCCAAAGTCGAACACCAACAACAAAAACAAAACAAACTCAATACACAATTATTAAGAGTTTATCGCCTCACCACTACTTGACACTTTCGGTTCCAAACTATCAATGTATGCTTTCTTTTTCTGCAGTTCGTCATTTGCGACTTTGAGTTTGTCTCTGCAAGATACAAAACGCGAAGTTGAGGTTGTACGAGAGTTTTACCAAGCCTACCCCTCACAGTTTTGTGACGTTGAGCAGTACTACCAAATTTGGGCTAGGGCTACCAAATAAGGTGGCGAGCACGTGCGTGTGGAAAAAAGAACAAGAAGGTTGTGAGAGCGCGAGTTTATGGAAGTTTTTCCATCGAATTTATTGAGAGTTTCGTGAATTAGATTGAAGCGGAATAAACCAGGAAATTGTGTTATTGTGAGTTTTAAGGGCTGTTCTATTGTTCGGCTCAAGGTTAACCTTAAGATGTAGTATTATCTCCAAACCACCAGAGGTAAATTGCGCAAACAAACAAACTTAACTCTTTCATTTCTAGCACATGCATCCCAACGTTAGGGTTACTGACGACCCAATTAAAAGTTTTAAAGAGGATCATACTTGTACAGTGTACTTACAAATGATCCGTGTATTTCTTGCCAAGTTCGCTATCTTTTTCCATCTCCCCTGCATTCTTCTGATTTTTCATGTCATCTAGTTCGCTTTCTACCTCCATAAGCTTCTGATTCAATTCCCTGCAAGAGAAATTTTTCTTTTCAATTTCGTGAGGCAAAATGTGATACTTATAGCCCTATCTTTGCTCCACGTCGGACCTGCAGGTGTCTTGTGAAGGCGAGTTAACATTACAAGCTCGCCCCACCCCCTCCCCTTCCTTTTGACTCGCTCGCCAAAAATACTCCTGCTCTGCAGCCTACCCCACATTGAGCCTTAAGATTTCCGTATCTAAAATACTTTTGGCTTCTTATTTGTTAACTGCACAAAACCAGAGAATACGAAGCATTCCAGGAATAGATCGAGGAATGAAAAAAAAATGGGAACATCAACCACATAAAGAGAAGAGGAAAAAATCAGAGGAAAAAATCAGAGGAAAAAATCAGAGGAAAAAATTAGAGGAAAAAATCAGAGGAAAAAATCAGCAATAAATACATTTCCACTCTTAACTACCCTAAGGAAAAACATTGTAGCCATGCAATATGATAAAATAAGAAAGATTACGATCTTTCTTATTTTATCATATTGCATGTTACACTTATTAACTCATACTCCTCGCCCTTTATAAAAGTATTTTTCCCACCTGTTCTCCTTCTCTAGTTGATCCTTTCTTTCATTAGCATCATTGAGGAGACTTTGAAGAAGCTGGTTCTGATGGTAAGAAGCATAATTATTATAATTATTATTATAATTATAACGAAGAAGCATAATTATTATAATCATTATTATAATTATAACGAAGAAGCATAATTATTGTAATTATCATTATAATTATAACGAAGAGGCATAATTATTGTAATCATTATTATAATTATAACGAAGAAGCATAATTATTATAATTATCATAATTATAACGAAGAAGCATAATTATTATAATTATCATAATTATAACGAAGAAGCATAATTATTGTAATTATTATTATAATTAAAACGAAGAAGCATAATTATTGTAATTATTATTATAATTATAACGAAGAAGCATAATTATTATAAGTATTATTATAATTATAACGAAGAAGCATAATTACTATAAAACGGTAGTACGTAATTTGTTGACGATGTTAGCAATGAAGTCGTAACAAGCGGCAGGAGACTGTAAGAACAAAGAAAACATGAACGACTCTCGAGGGTTTATTATGCTACAAACGCAGTTGGCTTTCTTTTTCCGGCTCTTAAAAAAAAAACACATGTCATTCTATATTCTTGTGATAACGAAATGTTCAAGCTGTATCATAAATATCTTATTGCCCAAGCTTTTTCGTTCAAGATTGTTTGATGTTTAACCTTGTTCTTTTTCTGCATTTTTTTATGTACCTCGACTTTGTCTCCGTCCATAAAAACGCGAGAAAAGAGCCGGAGCAATATCCAGCCATCTTGACCTTACACTTGGTCAATGACGCATATATATAATTCAGCAAAAACTCAAATGCCACAAAAAGTAAAAATAGAGAGAGTACAAATACACCAAAAGCTACCTGCTCTTCTTGCTCGCCCTGCATCTGCTCTTTAAGCTTCTTATTTTCATGTTCCAGACGAAGAACACGTTCCCTGTTGTAACGAAACAAGGGTTCGGTGCTTCCATTAGGTAAATACAGATAAAATTTGTACTGTTCTGATAAGCATATATTCAGTTTACATAGTTACTTTTGGTTATTAGAGAGAAACAAAATATTGGGCAATTTTTTTTCAGCCTGCTTGCTCGCGCTTGCCCTGCGTTTCAGCTCTGTGTTACCTACACCTAGCTCGTCACCAGCTTCTTTCAGCTCATTGGTAGAGCGTACGAGCCCGAATTCCAAAGGTCTGGGGTTTAATTCCTCACCGGGGACTAAGATTTTTTCTTTTTCAAATGTTTTTGTCAGAACCTATAACAAGTGTCCAGATTCTTTATATTTGGGTCAGTTACCTAAAGCTTAACAAGAACTGTTACAAATTATTGCATACTTCACTTCTGGGGACATGGAGCCACCCAGATCAAAATCGTCACTTGAAGGGGTCCCTGCAGATATCTGACGCATTGGAGAACCTTAAAAAAAAAAAGAAGCAAAAATAGTTGAAAAAACAAACATTATAATTACATTTCCTGTTTGTTCCTAAACTTTACGTATGACTGACTAGATACGAGGCAATGACAGCAAAGTTTCTGACTTCTGTAATTGTCAATCGCTGTAAAGTCCTGACAATTCAAACCAAAACTGTCTTCGATCCTCAATCAATCATTGTAACAATATGGGAATTCATACAACCTTCCTTTCACCCTAAAATTCCACTGTATATTAAACACTGGCTTCTGAGCATATTACTTTCTATGATAAGCTGAATCTTACAATCATTCTGATTGGTTCTTGCACAATATGATCAATTGGAGTATAAACAACAACATTTTGTTTTTTTATCACCTAAAATAAATGGATTCCATGTTGCTGCGGGTCTGTAGTAACAGTTGTAATAAATCACAGAAGATGTTAAAATGTGTTAAGAACATCAGCCACACACTTAGTTCGTTACACAAAAGTGTTGAACAATGTACTTGTACCTGCTACTTGGGCAAGTTGAAGCTCCTCATTTTCTTCTTTCAATTTCATTCTCTCCTGTCTTAGACGCTGTGAAATGGAAGTAAAAAACATTATCTTTACCATACACCCTAATCAGAAAAACTGTCATGTAATTATGATGATTGTGAGTATCAGCAAAAAAACAAAAAAACAAAAAAACAAAAAAAAAAGAAAAACTATTTAACCCTTTCTCTCCAAAGATCTCATTTATAATTCTCCTTACTGTCTGCCATACAATCCTTATGATGTTAGTTTGGAGAATTTGGTGCTGGATCAACTAATAATCCTCTAATTGATATTTTTCTTTATTCTCATCAGCTGTTTGCTTGATATTGTATTGATATTGTAAGGAGAAATTCTGTCTTGTTCAGACATGGGAGTTAATGAGTCAAATGTCTGTATATTATCCTTTTTCTTGCAAAAGACATACACTTACTTCATTTTCTCCATCAAGGTTTGTGACCTTCTCTTTTGCCTTCTTTGCCTCAAACTCTGCCTGTATATCAGAGAGAATCCAGCTACATCAATTATCAAACAAACTTCATCTTAAAGCAACACCTTCCTTGAAAAAATTACAGACAATTACAGTAAGATGCATTTGTTTATTTTTTCCACAAACCTTGTCTGCTCTTCTTTGTAAGTCTGACACCTGCACCTGCAACTGATGTACCTAAAACAAAAAAAAAAAAAGGAAAAAAATTTATATTTTTACAGCATTAATTTAGAGAAAAATCTACACAAGAGAGAAATTTGAAAGGAAAAAGAAAAAGAAACAGAAATTAAATAGTTAGGCTACAGGTGCTCCAGTACAACATACAATACTGTTAAGGATTACACCTTTTTTTTTTTTTGAAATGGAAAACAAGTTTAAACATTTATTATGCATCCCAGACTGCTTACAGACCTGTTTCTTGTATGTGTCAACTTGAGATTTTAATGCATTGGCTTTTCTTAGATCCTGCAACACAAATCATAATTTACAGACTCTGTTACCCTCTTAAACTGCTATAATTATTTGGCCATTGACAAATGATGTGCACTTGGCAAAATCAAAATTACAAAAGATCACACTGCAAAGGTTTAAAACCATTATCAAAACATTTGAGCACATCTTAAATGCTGTTTAATGAAGTTAACAGTACACTAGACTAAATTAGTAATGGAGCAAATGGTGAATGGTTTATTCTCAAAATGTCAACTTTGGAAACTCTTCATGACGACCAAGTGATTGATCATCAACTCATTGATAAAACTCATTTATCTTTTTACTTCCCACTGACTTAGCATCAAAGTTTCTTCAGCAAATCACTCCAAGCCCCAGTTGTTTGAAAGTTGGACAACACCATCCACTGTATAAATCTCCATCCGCTGGATAGTGCAGTACCTTTTACTATTATATATCCATTGAATAGCAATTTATCTGTTGGATAGCATCATCCCCCCTTTATACAACTGGGCCCAGACCTATTACATGTAATTAAAAGTTATATAAATGTGTGCACCTCTTGTAAGTTCATGGTTTCTTTCATATATGTCACATTTTTCTCTTCTAAAGCCTTCATCTGTTTCCTCATATCTGACAATTCCTCTGCAATGACAAACATATTATTTAGAACACAAAATCAATCCATATGATAAAATTAAGTTAGTGAAAAACTCAGACTAGAAAGCACTGACAATACCAGGATTTGTTGCAATATATCATTAAATTAGTTAACAATACTTGGCTGTGTAGCCGCGCAATGCGGTTCCAGTCGAGGTCCACAAGTTGACCCTTGCTCACCATAGAGTCTCCAGTAGCTCAGTGGTTAGAACATCCGACTAGATCACGGAGGGTCGTGGGTTCAAGTCCCATCTGGGGCTCGGATTTTTTCTATTACACTAAAAATTGTTTCATCTTAACAATTTTTACAAAGCTAAAAGAAATACTTCAAATTGCTAAATTATGTGTATAGTTTGCAGCTACGTGGTCAGTCTTGACACAAGAGTCCCCTTCGGTGAAAAAAGTTTTTCATACATAATCAAGGTAAGTTGTTAAAGACTTGCACTTACCTAATTTCTTCTTGTAAAGTTCTATTGTTGATTCATACTTAATCTGACAAAAAAATAAAATACAAATGGGACAGTTTACCAGAGAATATTTTGAGCCATAAAAAAATGGTAATTTGTCAAAATGATAGATGTGTTGCACCAATTAATTTACAAACCACTTTCTCCTGGGAATGCCGTATGACATCCATTTCATCTTTCAGCATCTGAGATTCTTCAGCTAAGCTCTGCAGTTGCTCATTCTATGAAGAGAAGATAAACTTAAAAACAGGAGCAAATATTGTGTCACACGTGTTTCACTTAAAATTGTTCACAAGCAAGCCACACTGAATTTTGCCCTGCATGCCTAAACTGCAAGACTTGTTGGTAGTAAACAAAGGCTGAGCTTTAAGATACCCATCTTTTGCATTGCACTCTGCATGTGAGACCTCCACATTTTTTTAGAATGTGCAAATTTGCTAGGAAAACTCAAATGCACTGAACATGGCTTGAATTCTCTCTGCTAGACTGTTTTTTGGACTGTCAAGATATCTAAAGCAAAATAATTTTGTCCCCATGCAAAAGCCACCAAAGCTTCTACCATTGCTATCACCATACATGCACAGAAAGAGGGGGAGAGAGAGTCAGGGAAAGCGAAATCCTGTGAACACTTAAAGAAAGCAAACTAAGTACAAAAGCACCATACCCGTTCATTCAACATCAGAACATCCCTTTCCAACTGTTCATATTTAATTTTGAATTCATCACGTGCTGAGAAAAACACAAATAGTTGTAACTATTACGTTAAGCATATTACTTAATTCTTATTAACTGAGCGGGAGGTCTGTATGGGAGAATCTTGACCAAGGTCGCCAGTACAGACCTCACTGCGTTCCGTTTGTACCCAGGGCTGCAAATAACGGCCGGTCAACGGACAATGTCCAGTCAAAATTGGCTAATGACCACACAAATCCTTGGATTGCCGGACATCTTTCCTTTACCGACCCGTTCAAAGAAATTTTAATTTTCACTGTTTGATAATCACAAGGGACAACAGTAATGTTTCCGAAAGGAAAAAATAAACCAATATAAAGTAGACAAATTAGTGGTCTAGAATTTCCCGGCCATCGCAAATTTCCACGATGTCATCAAGTCCTGTCGCGACCGCAAATCATCGTGTAGTCCCCAGTCCGTTATTTTATTTGCTTTATTTAAGTGTTCCCAGTTAGTAGAGGGTTTTACCTTTGGCTAGATGCCATAATTTACTCTTAAATAAAGTGATTGATTGTTTGATTGATTGAATGATCGGAAACTGAGCACCCTTAAAAAGAATAATCTCGCAAAAGCATGTTTGACCAGACAACGTGACTGGCGACTGCCCATTAATTAGCTATTTGCAGCCTTGGTACCAGCGACCGAGGTCAAGATTCTCCCATACAGACCGACCTAGCTCTGTTAATAAGATGTTTATTATATGGCTGTGTCTTATATGCCAATTTTTTATATTCTTTGTACCTTTTCTTTCCTAGACCAGTCTAGATTCTGGTCTAGATGGGAAAATCTAGACCACTTTTAATATTTGATTTCAGCCAATCAAATTCCTGAATTCAGTAGTTCCCGGTCCTTGTGAGACACAGCCATATAATAAATGTAAATGAAACCCTTCTGAACTTCCATGAGCGACCAAGATAGAATTTCTCCTTACCGTATCAATACAATATCAAGCAGACAAGTGATGATTAGTTGATCCAGCACCAAATTCTCTAAACTACTGTAACAGTAACATCATAAGAATTGTATGGCAGACAGTAAGAAGAATTATGAGTGAAATCTTGGAAGGGATCCCTTGACTGAACCTTCACTACTGTATATTTTGTAAACAGGACTACTTTTTCCATTTATTATAATTATTATTAATTACAAACAAGAAACCTTTTCCACTGTATTATCTTTAGCATCCATAGCACTTGAAGCTTGCTTATAAAAGGCAAGCTTCAAAACTTCTCTAAGATCTTGCCATTCATTTCTGTAAATTTTAAACTCAATATTTTTAACTCACAAGTTTCCATGGTGAAATTTTCTTCCTTGAGTTGTTCTACTTGTTGCTGAAGCTGGTGCATTCTTTGAGTGGAAAAACTAAATGACAAGAAAAAAAAAACACATCTTTTGTTTTCATCATGTCTAGATAATAATTGATGGAATATGTAACAAAAAAAAGCAGCTTAAATGCACAGAGAAAATGTAGATCATTCTTAACAACCTCTGCCCCAAACTGAACTTCCTAATGGAAAAAAAACACACACACACACACACTCAACTTTAACACATTATCCAGACTTCAATTTCAAGAAAAACATTTATTCATCAACAGGTGGCATAATTAAATATTAATCAATTTATCAAAGCAGCATAATAATGTTAGACATGTAAGTAAAACATTTTTATTTAGGAAAAATTTAAGAATCAAGTTTCATATTTTCTTTTGCCTAATGAAAACAATGGCTACCGGTATGTAAAAGCACTGTGCAGCAAGATATGAAAAGACCTTCAGCTGCCCAATAATGTTTGCAATCGTATCAACAAAATTCAGTTCCTCTTGAGACATGCCCCACCCTCTCAAAATTTCTTTACAGGTGCAGCTACCCCTCCCAGAAATGTGTCTTTAGTAAAGTGACAATAGTACTAATGAATAAAGGCTGATAGTTTCTAAAGAAACTGTTAGGGCCTGCGTCGGTGGGGGTAATGAAATAAATTGGATATATCAACAAAGTTGAAATGGTAAATTGGCCACCGTAAAGATTACAAAAGCTGACGTTTCGAGCATTAGCCCTTCATCGGAGCGATGATGGTCAGTCTGCCATTTACAAAATATCAGCTAACTGTGGATTTAACATTGACCAACCGTTGATTAGCATTCCCTCCGACGAAGGGCTAACGCTTGAAATGTCAGCTTTTGTAATCGTTACAGTGGCCAATTTACCATGATTTCAACTTTGTTGATATAATTATCCAAATTATGACAATAGTACTATTGCCTTTCCCTTTCACCTGACCAAAAGTTCCTTCTAAGTACATAAAAATTACTTCCCCTTCCTTTTAATTACAAGCAAGTTACATGTGAAAAGTTCTGTTCTACCCAATAGTCTTTAATTTCCCTGAAGGTAATTCTACTGTGCACCCTCTACTTTTCACTTATTTATCACAACCCTAACCCAAGACCTAACTTCCACTTTTCCTTCCTAGCTCACATTATTTCCAGACTGTTACTTTTGAAAATCTGAGGTTATTGTATATTAAAACAAAATATACACTTATTCATTCCCTGTCTATGGTACATTACCCTTACCCATGCATCGATTATGAATTCAGTTTAAGAAATTACACTGTACATCTCTCTTCAAAATGTCAGAACAAAAACATTATATATATGATTTTGATAATTAAAGTATCTTTCACAACAAAACTTTTAAAAATTGTTTGTTATTAATTTGAAGTACCTGATGTCATCATCTCTGTCGCCACTTGTGTCTTGCTGACTTAGCTTATCTCTGAGTCGCTCATTTTCCAACTGTAAGCTACTCTCATGTTCCTTGATGAAGGACAACTGAACAGAAAAACAAGAAAAGTGAGTAGTTGTAAACGTGCTAACACAAAGTAGAGTCTAAAATGTGAGAAAGGTGCTACACTGATCAAACATTTTATCATTTCACATAGTACATGCAACCTTTTGATCCACTAACAATACAGCTGAAGGCAGTACAATGCAACAAACTTGGAAGCTAACCGAAAAAATTGGCTCTTGGTCACAAGTCTAGGGTAATGAGCAAACTTTCTAATTACAATATTATGAAATGACAAACTCTTCTCTTTTGACTGCATAAGAATTTATTCATTTCATACAAAAGTAAATCAAACCTTTATTAATTTTTTGCCTGAAAAAAAAAATTATCATTATGAGTGTACTTTTTCTTTTTCTGTACCTGTTCATCCAATTCATGACATCTCTGTGATAATTCTTCTTTTTCAGCTGCCATACTACTAAGCTGTTCGAGTGTTCTCTTATGCTAGTCAAACAAAAAAGAGAGAGGAGTAAAACGAATGAGGATAGAGAGAGGGAAAAGTTTTCTTTCATTTAAACACAGTTAGCTGACACTTTTTTTCAAATGTGAAGTGTGCATGTTTAAAAAAACTTAATTTTTATAAATTATGACATCTACATGTAGTTTTAAAAGCATGCTTAGTTTTATAGAAAACCATTATACACTGCATTATCATTAAATTGAATTTCATAAACTTATAGCTAATAAAAACAACAATCATTTCTCTATGTCTATCCATAAGTCTTTTGTTAATTAATAAATGATGCTCAGTACAGAGTACAAATAAATGCAATATATAATAAGTGTACAAGTTCAAATAGTTCTTGTTTTCAATTGAGGTCTATTATAAAATTGTTTCTGAGAATTTCAGAAAGCCAGCATAATATTATCAAAAACTAGTGTGAACAAGGCGACAATATTCTCAGCAAGCTCAAAAAAACACCATACCAAGCATAATGTGTATGTATCTTACCTGTATCTCTAATTCTTTAAACATTTCACTATCTGCCCCAGGCACACCACTTTCTTTTCCTGTCATGAGCTGGAAAAAAAAAAAATTTTAAACCATAAAATAAAACCTTCTTGTACTCTGTCTTTCATGCATCAAACTCCACTTTACCTCTTGTATTGCCATCATAACCACATGCTGTACAGATTCTTCCATAGACATGATAACCTGAATATACTCTGTGGAAAGATAAACATTTTGAAAACCATAAAAAAAAAAAAAAAAAAAATCTAACCCAACATATCACAAATTACATCTATTATAATTTCACAGAAACCCTCCATTAAAATGTTAAGCCACTGCAGTATATTTTAAATCATGCCACTATCTACTGGGAAATCAAGTTTTTCTTTTATATTTTAAGCAGGTAGAGTATGAAATCACTTTTTTGTGTATTTTTTTTACTGTCTTCACTAAAGAGGTTTTGCACAGCAGCCATGTTGGATGGCAGGAACAATGAAAATATTTTGCACAAGAAAGAAATTTTTTCCCATGGCTAAAATAACCTATTGTTCCTGCCATCCAACATGGTTGTTGTGCAAAACCTCTACAACTGCATCTCAACTTGACTACTGAGGTATCCTGTGAACTGCAACCAAGTAACCAACAATTTCTTGACTAACCTGTTATCAAGTACAAAGTTGAACATGGTATTATATAATTGACATAGGATTGGACTCACCTTGCTTATCTTCACAGTTAACAGCACAGCCAAGAACTAACTGTAATAATCTACCAAGGTCAGAGATTTCCTGACTCTCAACTATGGAAATCAGTGAGCAAAAACAGTAATTAAAAAGTGCAGTTTAATAATAATAATATCTTAAACATTAAAACTAACTTTGAACCTTCGGTTGAGGGCTCTATTGGCTCTTCTCCCTTAAAACCATACAAGACATGCTATTGTTAATTGAATAGCAAGATTCTTATGAACTGTGAATCAAAGTACAATTAAAAAGGAAAAGAGCCAGTTGTGGTCATTTTAGGTGTACAGCATGTAAAAAAACACACCCTAGTTTAACTTCATCCATAGCCTTATTACAGTTTATTGAAGCTTAATAACAAAGAAAGCTTAATAAGAAAATTACAGATTACAAATTACAAATTAATCTAAAGCTATATAGATTTCTTCAGTGCATTGACAAACAGTTGACTTTGGGTCTTTCCCTTGTCAACCATTTGCCAATTAAGAAGTCAGAATTTAACTCTACAAAACAAATAAAGTTTAGAAGAATGTTCTCACCGATGGCATTAACATCAGGCATGGGAAATCCTGAGATATCCATTGTGAGCACCTACAACATGAAGTAGAAAGAAAAATCAATACACTGTCAGGGAGTGACAGTAATTTTTCCACTTACTAGCCAAGTGGCTACTGACATCTTAGATGCTACAACAATTTCAGTTTGTTTACGAGCCAAACTGGCTGGTAGAAACCAAAAACCACTAGCCAAAACTGAGTTTCTACTAGTCTGTGGCAAGTGGGCTACCATTAGTGTGGTGCCCTGACTGTACAATGATCCTTTTAACTACTAAGAGTGACTAGCACCTAATTTCTCCCAACATAATCAATCATGGATCAGACAGTAAGATCAGGAGAATAGAGACTATGATCACTGTGAGCCAACAATTTGCAAGTGTGCGTTTTTAAAACTGCTTTAATAGGGTCCTTAAGCAACCACGACGGCGATGGCAATGAGGACGTGGAAAAACAAGAGATCTAATTGGCAGAACAATAGCTCAGCACGTGCATTTTGAAACTTTGTACATTTCTCAGCNATGCGGAAGTTGAGCTGTGGCGCTGTAAGAGACAGTAAGCTCATGTTGCCATTTGTGAAATTCTAACTAAGAGTAGAAATTCATTTTTTAATTGAAGTCTTCCTTGGCATTGCCGTCCTGACTGCTTAAGGTCCCTAATAACTCTTCATCACTTCATTGCAACTTAATTTAGTCACCACCTTCCACCCTCCACGCAACTTAATTTTTGAGTCACAAAAAGTCTTACTACACATGCAGTGGTGACAAAAACAGTTGCATTTGGCAGTGCTTTACCTTCTAAAGAGAACACTGAGACTAACAGAGTGTAAATAATATTTCTTTGATCAACTAAAACAGTTGCATTTGGCAGTGCTTTACCTTCTAAGGAGAACACTGAGACTAACAACGTGTACAATAATATTTCTTTGATCAAGATATCATTTACAGACTTGTACAAGGATTTCATTAGCACCAAAGTTAGGAAATAACATATTTGGAAAAGAATCTTCCTATTCGCAGTAATAAGGTATTTATAAAAATGACAGAGCAATGAAAAGCTGTTATAAACATGTACAATGTAATTTATACTTACCTCAGTGTAGTAATCATGGATTCCTTTCACAAGTTTCTTGAGGTTATTTACCTAGTAAACAGATCAACAAAGCTCTTATCACTCTATGATACACCACTCAAGTCTAGGAGCACTTTACAAGTGAAAACAACTGTTACAAATGATGTGCATGTAAATCAAACAATGGACACATGAGTGTTCTTCTCAGATTTTGATAAAGTCAGCCAAATATTGAAGTAGCTGGTGCTTGTAGTGCAAGTGTCCAATGAGCTTGAGTTTCTAGAGAGGTTTGGCAACATGCTCCTCTTCTGTGTCTTTGTTTAATGAAGTAGCTATAGTAACACCTGCTGGTACCTCTGGAGAACACTAACACATCCATTGCATATGCAGTATTTGCCACCCTATTACTGACAACTACTCAAAAAAATATCTGACACAGAATATACACCTTACCTTCAGTCTTCTGTTATCTCCAGTATCATGTCTTATTTTGGACACCCACTCATCATCAAACCAATCTGGAGCACTAAAAATTGTGAAATCTTTATTTAGCAATAAAAGAACAATGTAGGTTTGAAGGTCAGGATTCAGACCTCCTCATAACCCTTTGATGTCAAAGAGTGACTAGCATGTAATTTCTCCTTACAATAATTTTTATCACCCCTTGAATGATAAACTATGGTTACAAGAATATACGAAATGATCACTAACTAGAAAAGCTTGCAACATATCCTCTTGATGAGGCTTGAATAAACTCCTGACTATCTTAAGTTTCAGTGCTACCATAACACATGCAAGAATTGGAAAAAAATTTTGTAGAGAGAAATTGTTTGCCATGTCCTCATTACATTTCCTGCAATTTGCATCTTGTACATGTAAGGTTTTGTAATCTCACTGTGAAGGAGTTGCAATAAATTGGGAACAAAATTGTGTCAATAAACCCTTTTTGAGCCATCTAAGTTACAATCCTAACCAGCACCATTTTCCTAGCTATAGCCCTGGGCCCTCCTGAGAGATGTGTTAACTAGTAGGTAATAATTATTATCTACTGCTTGTGATCTTCGAGTTGGCTTTAACTATTACGTCTAAGGTAACAGCTCTAGTCTGATCACTTAAACAAAACCTATGAAAAATCATTTCCGCCTAGTAAAGCATAAAACCTGTTATTGTAGAAAACGGATATATGACAATCTAAGATTCTAAGTACAAAACTTGACACTGCCGCACACAAAGCGAAGGAATTGTCAGGACTACATTCTCACTCTAGTCTACATTAAACTCAAACCGTTTCTCATAATTATTCAATAAAGAAAAATGAACAAGGTTAGTTTCGATACAATTTACGTTATTCAAGTCATCGACAATAGCTTGTTAATTTATTATAGTTGTCTAAACAAAACAGTTGGAATCTAATTTGCCAGTAATAAGATAGAAGTCAACTGTTATTTCCGAGCGATAAGCATCTAAAATCAGCAGACAATCAAATTTAACAGAATCGGAAGCGGACAATATCACCTAAGCCTTTGAGTCTGAGGGTGAGAATGTACCAAAATACAAAAATGAAATTTGAATACTTTATAATTAAGCTTAACAATCTACTTACATTTCGGCTAAACATTCTGAAAGAGCAACGCCATCAGCCAATTCGTCGATAGTTTTATGCGGAGCTTTTATTCCTTCAAAGGTACTGACCTACAGGAACGGAGAATCGAGGTGAAATTCATATCTATTGTCAATACAACGATATGACCAGAGGTTAAATTGAGCAAATTCTTCAGGAAAGGCATGTCACAAACTGGAAGGTATAAAGACGACAATCAACTTAAATTCCGCCATTTCAACTCACCCATTTCATCAAACTTTCGCACATCAACTCCTCGTCCATCATGTTTGTGATATATAGTGACCAATGCGATAGAAAAGTAAGGAAAGACCCAAAATTAACCAATATTTACAAGGAGAGCTTCACTGAACTGAAGTAATGCTGTAACCGCAGGCCTGGCTGCCAGGCCGTTGTATTCAAATGGACTCCTGGGAAATAATCAGAGATTCCGGTTGTAATAAATTCTTCACGGGTGGGGTGCGGCTAAAAATACCCAGGCTGGGCTACTTCTGAGCTGTCGCGGTTTAGTGATCTGGTGCCAAAATAACAGCGCGAGAATCAGGCTATGGGTAAAGTCGCTCTCATTGGTATGGTTGGAATAAAGACCGTGGTGATTAAAATGAGCGAAAATTTCACGAAATTCAATGTGGGAGAGAGAAAATTATTTGTGAGAGAGAGAGCCATTTAGTGAGGTGATGGCGGTAAAGGAAAGAAAAAAGCAGAACTGCTCGATTTATAAAAGAAATCAGCAGCACTGAAGCAAATCAAACTGGGCTCTTCTGTCAAAGACCGCAAAAATATAATGCGGAGAGGCCCTGACAACCTCTTTTTGGCTTTTTTTTTGTGTTTTTTTTTGCCTCTCGCACACTTTTCGCTTAAACTATTGGGTCAAGTTATTGGGTTAGGCAGATGAAGATACAGTTTCAATCTCATAACATGCATGGATGTAATATTTGGCTCCGCCTTTTCTCACGGGTACCGTTTACGGCTGCGCGTTTGTCACGTCACAAAATTTTGACCCCGTAGAGGGATTAACTATGGATAAAAAAACAAGCTTCTCGAGTAAAGGAATATGGGCGATGATGGGCCCATCTGGCCCCGGTTGTTCGAAGGATGGATAACGCTATACACTGGATAAATCTCTATCCGATGGATAGTGCAGTACGTTTTGGTAACACTTATCCGCTGGATGACGATTTATCCGTTGGATAGCGTTATCCGCTCCTTGAACAACCGGGCCCTGCAGTTTAAACGTCTCTAAAGCTCGTATTTTGAATCAAAACGACGGTGTTCCTGGCTCAAAGTTCGAGCAAGACCCAGAGAACTATAAAAAAGCACAATTGAAGCGTTGGTTAAAGTGTAGAGGCTTGAAATTAAGCGGAAAACGAGTAGACCTCATCGCACGTGTTCGTGACTGCCCCATGTCGGGAAAACATTATAATACTTGATTCAAGTATAGATGACGGGAAATGGCTTCAGGTGAAGATACTAAAGAAAAGTAAAGTCGATCGCGTGAAACTTTAGGATCTAACAGTTCAATGTAAAAAGGGGGTTGACATTTTTTGACCGAAAATAGTCTTGCTTCTGACACGTTTCGCATACAACTCCTTGTAAAGACTACGAGTGTTTGTCCTAAACCAGCGGAGGGTCCTAAGATGACATATCTATTTTTAGACCTGGCGCGCAGCGCCATTTACTGTGGGACAGTCTGTCAGAAGAGAGGATCAAATTTGACCCTTTGTTATTGACAGTCAGTAGAGCATTCAACGCACCCGCAGTTTGACATCCAGATCGCAGATTTCTTAGCGGTAACATAGTGTACTACGAAAACGTCTTGTGTAACATGGCCCGTTATGAAAAAGAGGGTGAAAAGCCGGGAGCAATGGAAAAGAATCGAAAGATTCTCATTATTGCCTTCGCAGTTGTTGCGATCCTATTTGCGTTTGCCATCGGAATGTTGATAGGAGTTTTTGGAGTCAACAAGTCAGATAAGAAGGATGCTAATCAGAAAGGCACAATTAAACCTGGAGATGAAAAATCTCAGCGAAGAGCACAGCTTGAAAAGCAACAGGAAGAAATGATGAATTTTCACAAGAAATTTCAATCCACAGTGGACCCAGAACAACTTAAAGAACACCTCAAGTAAGTAAGTAACTTCGTTGTTACGATAAGAGACCTTTGAATTTCCGCCCTCGCGTCGAATAAAGTTACTTGCATTTACCTGCGTGTCAGCTAACAATGACTTAATTTTGCAGAGTTATTAGAAAGTAGGAGTCCATCATACATGGCTCCATCTTCTGCATGATATAATGTCATGTCAATCTTGGCAAAATAAGTTACTCGAGTTGTATACGAGAGAATTATCAATTACAATTGTATACGAGACTGTTATCCATACCGACTTCTCCCTTAGTAAATATCCTAAAGTCTTGAGGCGACCTTAAGCGTTTTCCGGTCGAAAAACCACACTATGAAGTTCTTTTCATTTGCCAAGTAACGCACAGCAATAGCGGAACGTACGAACTATATGCACGGCTATCCTTGACTCATCAGGGTGGCATGAAATCGGAGATTTTACAATTAGGTCGACAAAAATCAGACACTTTTAACCCAAACCTGTTCGTTTAGTTCCGACGGCTATACATCACTATATACAGTGGTTCATAAAACATCTGTCCAAGTATGTACTATAGACATAGTATGTACTTGAAATTTGAAGGTGGCGTGGTATCCATTTGCAATCAGTTTATTTGCTGTAAGACCGGTTCGAAAGAGGCGATTGTTATTGCCATCAACTCCGAGAGGATCGTACCGTGGCCCGCCATAAGGGACATCGTAAAAGACGATCGTACTTAGTAAAACGGCTTAACGAGCGCCACTAAGAAGTCTCTAACTGTTAGCATTTTTGTCATAGTTGTTTTCTTTTTAAATCCTGATGATTAGCTCGTAGGTATGGAGGAAATTAAGATTTTATCTTTCAGCTACGAAAAATCTAAAATGAGTACAGTAAAATAGATAGGTAAGAGAAACCTGTAGGCTTTGGGAGTGTCTCAAGTATGTTTCGAATTACCATGAATTTCAGACGGGCGAAAATGATAAGAATTAAGATATGGTTTTAATTAAGCTATCAAAGTTCTTGTTGGCTCAAATGTTTAACGTTGTATTGAACCAATGTTTATATTTTGAAAATTTTTTGACGGTTTCCATAACGACCGGCGGCAGAAATAGAAAGTCTATATCAAGTACGTCTGATTAAAGAGTTTGTCGTGTAGGTTTGATTTCCACATTGCTAAAACGATAGAGTATGTTCAGTCCTTCTTTTCGGCGAAGTCCATCGCGCGGGTGGAAAAAAAAGTGAAAAAAAAAAGATTGATGTTAGCGTCCCGCAAGGAGTTCTGGGGAAAAAGGGGGCATGGAAAATAGTCTACCAATTAGTAGAGCGCTGCACTAGTATCGCAGAGGTCAGTGGTTCGAATCCCGTACAGGCCTGATTTTTTTCAGGTCTGATTTTCGCTATTGCATAAATAGCGCTCTTTACTGCGAGGATCATGCATCATACTTATCTACAACCGCAGTTCAAAATATATGAACTTCATATATTCATTGTAACAAACTCTTTAATTATTCACTGTGAAGGAGCCTGTGACAGAGCTTGGGCCACCTGTGGTGGGATCAACGATGGCTCCAGCTAAGTTTAAAACCCGAAGTGGTCAGATTGATTAATGCAAATTTATTAGTGTTTCAAGTCGAATTTCATTTACGCGTGTTGACCTTTTCTTTTGAAACTAGCGGTCTAGTGATTTCGCTCTTGAGATGCTAAAATACTTGTTAATTTTATGAATAGTTAGAAAAATCCAAGCTAAACAGCCAGACAACAGATTTTCTACGTGACGTACAATAATGTTGATTAGGAAACGAAGTCACGATAAGTTCCATTAGTCCCAATTTGTATTTTTAGAAAGGCAACCAATATATGAAGCTCACTTCACTTCACTTCACGTGCACCTCCGCCAATGTATCTATTGCATAACTTGCACAAAGATATACATCGGCAAAACAGGCAGAAGACTGGCTGACCGATTCCGAGAACACCTTCGCGACGTGGAAAGGAATGACAAGGACACATCGAAACCAGTCGCTAGACATTTTAATTTACCTAATCATTCTAAGCAACATATGGCAATCTGCGGTCTTTCCTTACACTTAGGTAGCACGGAAAGCCGTAAAACTCTTGAACAGTCGCTCATCTTTCAAACCGGCAGTCTAAATCCCACTGGTATCAACGAACGCTTTTCATTCGACTAATTTATTCGTGTTTTTCTCGTTGCCATGTTTCCACCAATAGGGACGTTAAGAAACCACGACGGCGACGCCAGGGAAGACTTAATTTGCGTCGTCTGTGAACCGAAACCGCGACGGCAAATTATCTTAACTTCCATTTGGAACTCAACGGCTACTTGATACGTCATGCTGAAGTTGAGCTGTGGCGCTGTATGAGACAGTAAGCTCCTGCAGCCATTTTTGAAATTCTAACTAAGAGTAGAAATTCATTTTTTAATCGGGCGATTTCACATTGTTGTCTTGCATAGGACGGCTAAGAAATGTACAAAGTTTCAAAATGCACGTGCTGAGCTATTGTTCTGCTAATCAGATCTCTTGTTTTTCCACGTCCTCGTTCCCGTCGCCGTCGTGGTTTCTTAAGGTCCCTAATAACGTAGCTCCATTTTCTGCCTTTAAAAGCACACACAACCCACAATTCCTCTATTCGCTCCGACGAAGGGCTAACGCTCGAAACGTCAGCTCTTGTAATCGTTACGGTGGCCAATTTACCATTTCAACTTTGTTGATATATCCAATATATAAAGCAATATATTTGCATAACAAAAGCTGTGCAACGAAGGATAACATTGCGGCAGCGCCAGCATTTCTTGATCAGGACCCATGCTGAAGGCGTTGTCTTCCTTGTATTTTGTGTAAATTCACAGTCAATACCTGCTCCGTAGCTCGGCCCAAATCACTGTTACGTTACCGCTATGGATGATAGTGTTGCGCTGACTTACACGAAAAAGAAAAAGCAGCGAAGGGTTCGCTGTATCGGTGCCATTGTTATTGTTATTCTCGTGTTTATCATTGGTTTCTTGATCGGATACTTTGCAAAGAAGACTAAAAAAGATGACCATGATACGGGACGGCCTGATGGATACGATAAGAAAGCCGAAATGCGAAAAAAGCACGAGGATATGATGCGCTTACATGAGATCTTTCAATCGACCGTCAAAGCAGAAGCCCTTGAAGAGAACCTCAAGTAAGTCGACATGGTTATGAATACGCTTCGCTCATAGTTAATTATGCGAGTGACTCCACTAAGCTGCTGCACTTTGAGTGTGTGGCTGCATCATGATCAAAATTCCGAAGGACGTAATCTGGTGAAAAAAAAACAATCTGTGGAAATTTGCCAAAGCTCACCAGAGTTGCGATTTGATAACTTTAGCAAAATAAGTTATCGCTGAACGATTAGAAAACTCAAGAATTATGGAAAAATTTCCCAGGGATTTTGTATTCAATATGTACCTACGGTGAAAATACAAAAGCGTAATTCAAAGCTTTTATTGACATTAATTCCTTCCGTGATCCATGAGACATCTTGTAAAACGTTGTCGCACGAGATACAAAGATAATTGAAGGCAGTTCAATTTCTCACCCAAACAATTTCCCCGCATGATCGCCTTTAATGACTTTAAAGGAGTTTTTGCTCGAGTATCGCGCACGCCTCTTGAAATACACCATTTTTACGCCTGTATGACTCCGTGATAATAAATATTATTATCATTAATGATCAGGAAGGTAATCCTATTAACCTGTGAAATAACTTATTTTATTACACGACTCGGGAAGTGTCTCTTTGAACTTCAGTCGTATGGACCACTTTCACAAATGGCTGCCGGATTAATATTCTTTTGTTAAAGGTGATGCAGTAAATGTTAAACTTTTGTTAAACTTTTGTTTAAATTAGCCTTTCTGGCCTCGTTCTCCAGTTCAAAATTCAAAAGAATACATTATCTCAAGCGAGGCTAGTGAGGCTAATTTGAATTTAAATGAAAGAATTTCAATCCGGCAGCCATTTATCTTCTTAACCAAGTTTGCTCGGGACCGTACTGGAAGAATATCGGCCCTCGGTCTATTTTTGTACGGACCTCGCTGCGCTCGGTCCGTACTATCAAGACCTCGGGTCGATATTCTCCCAGTACGGCCCTCGCGCTTGGTTAATAAGATATATTTATAACATTAAGATATTATTTCATCGTGTG